CGCCCCGCAGCCTCCCGGCCTGCGCGGCGCTCGGCCTCTGCTGAGACTGCAGGTGAGAGCAGAGGCCAGTGGAGACGGGGGCTCTTGTGGGAAGCCACCCGCCTGCTGGAAACGGGGCTGAGAGCCCCCAGACTCATCTCACAAAGGCCCCTGAGCAGCCAGCCGCCACCGTGACATCCTCTGCCCTGCTTGTCTAGTCCGTGAAGGAGCCCAGGGCAAGGGGCTGCCCAGCCACAGCCCCAAGCCCCTGCACAAGTCTCACCGTACCCCCGCAGAACCACCCCACTAGCCGGCCAATCGGAGTAGCTGCCATTGAAAACCAGGGTTCTCTGTTTACAATTCTTCGGCTGCCATGCACGATGGGGAAATGTTCTGGCCAGTCTTATTACCCGGCACTGAAAGGTGCCGCTGGACAGCCCTGCAGTTCCTAACCCCAATTTTATCCTGTTTCCCTGCGGGTGTAAAGGGGCAGGAGTTTTCTACCAAAGCCCCGGAGCAGGCATTGCTGCAGCTGAACTAACTTCTCAAGGAATGGGGCGAGCGAAGGCGACGCAGGACACTTCTCTCCGGACTCTGCGGAGGCGTCTCCACTGCAATCAAACACTTGCTGTGGGCCTCTGTCAGCTGACACGGGCCAGCCACTGGTCCACTGCAGTGTGGACAAACCCTCGCAGGGCTACGGTATCAGCCCGACAGCCCATCAGGGATCCATTCAAAACCCCACCATGGCACACAGCCCTGGGCTTTGTGGCCTACGGGGCCCTACTACCAGCGGTGCTGGCAAGCTGGCACCCGAGTACCCTGGCAAGCCCTTGACCCAGCAGCGGGATGAGAAGAGGCGGGAGGTGACGAGTTCTGCTCTTGCCTCGCGGCACGGCCCATCGGCACTGCTGAGCCTGCGGAGCAGTACTCCATGGGGACAGGACGGCGCTGTTCCAGGTTCCGGCCAAGGGGCCAAGCTCTCCTCAGCCTGCCCCTGGCAGAAAAGGGTCACAAACAAAATGTGCTTGACGGCATGAACTGGGGACAACTCGTGGTTTGGCCACCGTGTCCTCAGTCAGCGTTGCCGGGGAAGCTGGGGGCGCCGCCCCTGAGCGCAGCCTGGAAGGGCACTTTGCTCCTGCCCCCCCCCATCCGCCAAGCCTGTGCTGGGACATCTGGGATGGTGCAGATTGCCCCTAGCTCATTCGGGATCCGCATCGCTCCCCATCCCTCCCCACCAGGGCTGAAACACGGGACAGCAGCTATCCAAGAATGTCAGCCAGGTAACCGGGCACCTGCAGCACCCGAGGGAAACCGGCAGCTTCTCCGCCCTCAGCATGGTGCGCTTAGCGCCCTCAGGGGCTCCTGACAGACACAGGAATACATATTTACCCTGAAAC